CAGCCACCATATTGAGAAAGACGGTTAGTGAAAGCAGAATTGTGACACCAAGTGACAGTTTCTCTCCGGAATCTGGCGGTAGGGTGAATCCCAATACAGCCATAGAAGCAATAAGCACGCAGGGTACAATTAAATTAAAAAAGTAGTATAGTGTTCGGCGTCTTATTATTATCACGAATGTGATGTCAATGTATGGTTCTGGGCAACAGTTGTAATATATTTCGTTCCTCTTTCCGGGAACACCTGGAAAAAAAGATAGCAAAACTGAATTTTGAGAAAAAGAAACAACTATTAATGAAATAACCATGATCAATAATCTAGTTCAATCCAAGTTAGACACAATATTGTCAGATAAGTATAGGAATTAGAAGACGCTGGACAATGTAAATTGTTCAATATTCCGTTGGAAATGATTGGGGTTGAATTAATAACGCAAACATGTTTGAGTCCTCTTCAATCAGAAAAAATTCATTATTGATTTTTTTCAAAGATATCACCGGTAAAAATTTATCATTCGATTATTTAGTCGTTTATTTTATTATCTGATCATTTTATTAAATTTTTTATTTTCTTTTTTGTTTCAGGATGGGCATTTCAATGTTTTTTTTTGCTGAAACTACTGTTTCATTTTATCTCCTGTTTTTCTGTTTCAGTTTTGCATCCGTTTGTTTCAGATTTTGAATAACAGAAATGCTGGAAGTTGAAAATTAAGCAATGAAAGTCCGACAGTCTATTGGTGTAAGAATATTCTGGCATTATATTAAGATTGGCATTGGTAGTATTTAACTGTAAATAAAACCTATTTGGAAGGTTGAAAAATCCTATTCATTCCATACATTCTAAGCTTCATTTTTCCAAAATCAAGTATAAATAAACCATACCGAAAGTCTGATGATCTTTTTTTCTGTAATTAACAGAAAAAAGAAGAGAAAAGAAAAAAAAACGTTATTTCATCAGCTTCATTCGGATTTTATAATATTATCAATTACAATGTGAACTGATTGATTTGGTAATAAATGAATAAAAGCAATATATTTGTGAAATTGTCTCAATTGATATAGTATAAATATTGACTAAGATCGGCAACTAATATTCAGTCTTCGTTACTATGTTACAAAATAACAAGATTGGGTCACTCGTATTGTTTTTATATACAGCTGTGGAAAGCTGTGAAATTAGCAACGCTACTCATGTTAGTAGCTTTTTATTAATTTCATAGTTCTTGAAATTTTGTTCGCAATAATATGGCTACTCGGAATATACAATATTTCCTCAGCAGGGATGAATACCTTCTATTAACTAAATCTTTCGTAATAACAATCAATTTTTTAAAATAAGAAACAGTTCATTCACATTCATCCAAAGAAAATATGCATCAGAACTTTTTGAGGAATTGAGAGTTCACATTTTTTTAATTTCGAATATTTGTTCTAGAGCAAAGAAGATCATTTTCTCTTTCTTGTCAAATTTGAGTAACTGAAGGAACAAAGATTATTTACGAATTAACGAAAAGTCTAAGAGTCTGATATAACTTTCAGTCTATTTCCTTCAGTTGGCAATTTTATGGGCATTACCCAAACGGAAAAGAAAATGTCAGTTACATCTGTCAATTCGACTAGGTGAATATCTGTGACAGATAGGTCGTCTTTTTCAGCACTGTTTGTGAACTTTCATCGTATCTCATATAAAATTTATACTTTATTCTCGGCCGTTTCATGTTATGAAGACGAGAACGTGTTCTTTCGGATGTCATTTTCGTTAAAATGAGTTGAAAAACAGTTAATGTGTTATCCATTTCGATTGTACGTGTTCCAAATTCTTAGATATTGGACATCGATGAGTTTATGATGGAACTGTTTCAAGAAGTTTTTCCTTTCTCTCTATCTCTAGTTCTAGATAAAAAAGGTTCGTAGCAATTTCATGCGGTAGAAAGTAATCATTATGTTTTGTTTTAGAGAAATTTCTCTCTTACAAATGGTAGGAGTTCGACGGACCATTCTTCCACTTTTCCATAATAAATTTATCATAAAATAGCAAATAGTATGAATTAGTAGCAAATAATAAATATACACTTAATCCTAAGTGGAACTAATGAGTAAAAACTGACAAATATAAACTTAAATAATTCATTCACAATCAAACTAGAAAAATAACATAGACTGCACATTAACATGTGATAAATATTCATGACATTGAGGAGTTTGCCATCAAGTGCTAAGAATACTCGCTGACAGAAAATAAAAACAAAACCTCTTCTCCTATTCTTTATGTTCATTTTGAATTTATTGAAAGTGAACTATTTAAAATGTGAAGGTGAAAACTATGAAACAGGACAGTTAAATTTGAACGAAACTGAAAATTGATTTGCTATGTATAAGCTCAAAAATATACAACGAAATCATAAGATTGTCGAATTTTTTCTCATTTTCTATGGAATAATTGAGAATGTGATAAATGCTTTAGACCAGGGTCGATTATGATGAAAATGGTAAAAAGTGAAAAAAAAATAATAGAAGGATGACACCCGTTAAAAACGGACGAGAATATAACAAAAATGAAAGGTAAAATAATTTAGGAGCGCTCTGAGGTTGGGAAGTGGAAGGGGGTGAGTTTTTAAGGGTAAAAATGATGTACTTCGATTTCTGGCAAAACTACAAGTTCTATGGAAAAAAATCAAATGAAAAAGCTGTGGGTAATAAAGAGACCTACAACTTTTGTTATCACACTTTTTTCACATAACCTAAAAATTTATGTGAAAAATTCAAAAAATCAATTTTTGGATTTTTATTTTCATCTTATACAAAAAAAATTTTAACGAAATTTGGTGAAAACTTACCTTTCTATGTCCTAAAGACACCGAAAATTTTTTCATTTGAAATATTCATTTTTTCACCTTATTTTGACTTGATATCGAAAAAATACCCTAATTTTGAATCGAAAATTCTCGCGTCAAAATATCAACTTTTTAAAAGAAAGTTCTCAGAAAATGCAAAGAAAGAACTCGAATCGAATTTTTTTTTTATCACTATGTACAATCTCCAGCTATTTAGTAGAATTCACACTTTAATTGAAAACGTAAATCGAAAAACGTAAGATTCTATGTTACATTGATAAACAAAAAAATTACAAATCCATAAATCATAAAGATTGCAAGAAATATAGGATTTAAAGGGGGGAAAAAATTTCGAATTCGAGTTTTTTTCTTTTCTTTGCATTTTCTGAGAACATGTACCATAGTAATGTATATATTTTCTCAGAGTATTAGAAAGAAGAGATTTCAGTGAACAAAAAACTCCCCGACTTTTTTTAAAAACCTGATATTTTGACGCAGTAATTTTCGATTGAAAATTAGGGTGTTTTTTCGATAATAAGTCAAAATAAGGTGAAAAATGAATATTTCAAATAAAAAAATAACGGTGTCTTCAGGACATAGAAAGATAATTTTTCACCAAATTTCGGGAAAAATATTTTTTTGTTGCATAAGAAGAAAATAAAAAACTAAAAACTTGATTATTTGAATTCTTCATATCAATTTTGAGGTTAAATGAGAAAAGTGTGATTACAAAAGTTGTACTTCTCTTCATTACCCACAACTTTATCTTTTAATTTTTTTCCATAGGACTAGTAGTTTTGCCGGAAATCGAGGTACACCGTTTTTTACCCTTAAAAACTCACCCCATTCCACCTCCCGACCTAAGATCGCTCGTAAATAATTTTTCCTTTCATTTTTGTTATATAACGTTATTCTCGTTAAAAAAATGATAGTAGGATGAAACCCGTTTTTGACGGGTTTCATCCTACTATCCTTTTTTTTTGGTTTCGAAAATTATCCACCCTGGTCTATTGTAATGTTACAAATTTAGTTAGTTGTCGTAGGGTCACGATGGCAGTAATAAATAACCAATAAGTATTAAATTGAATTAGAATAGGCAGTATCAAATTTTCAGAAATCGGTGTACTTTGTGAAGTTTTTGAATTTTGACCAAATGTCATGCAAATGGAATAGTGAAGTAATTTCTTAAGATCTTTTACGCCGTAATCACTGTAAAAGTGACGAAAATTGTCGCTTTCGAAGTTAATAAGTCAACGGTTTATAAAATACAAAAAGACTCGTCTCAATTGAAGAGAATTATTTTCAAGGAAATTCCGAAAAGAAGTAATGTCGAATTACAATTGGTTTTTCGGAACAAAATTTTCAATAGGATCGAGATGAACAGGGACAGCGTAGCCGCTAAAGGGAATATTTACTGGAAAATGAGGTCAAACTGGAGAAAGAATAAACACTGTTCTTTGGATAGAAGCCCTTTCTGTTGAAATTCGTATTCTTTCAGCACTTTCAGATCAACGAATCAAAAGTTAAGTGAAACAATGTTGAGAAAATGAATAATACACATTATAGTATTTACATTTCAGAAAGTATAATAAGGTCTGTTGAGTATGCCGGTAATGAAAAAAAGAACTGGTTCATCATTCGGAAGATCATGAAGGAACAAATGGTACTATATATATAAGAGTTCAAAAAACTAGGGAACACTTCTTACTGGAAAAAACAACGGAAAAGTTTGAAATCATTTTCAATGAAATTGAAAAAGAGAGAAAGTGTTATAGAGAAAACTACATTTCGTTTTTATGATAATATTATGTATAATATGAATATAATAATACTATTTTCGCTCTAATACTCTGCATTACCACGAAGTAAAATTATCGATTTCTTTCTGTGGTATTTTCTGTAATAACTTCACTACGTTCACCAATATCTATTAATGAACTGTTCATAGAGTTGACATGAAGGATAATATCGTGGAATATTTGTTAAATATTTCACGATATCAACAAATGCACAAGAAGATCCAGAATTTTGATGTATTTCCGCGTATATAATCTACAGTTTAAGGCCTGTTCCGAACGGCCAATGGGCTTGTAATCAGTGTACATTACCCAACAATTATCATCATTTTTTATTACCTACTCGAATAACAGATAATCACACACACCCATGCCTTCACCGGGGCTCGAACCCATTTCTTACCGCACCATAGTCGGGTGTTTTCCCGGCTGAGCCATGGAGGGCGGCCCCGTATATAATGTGTTATAACGAATGACAAGGTTATTATAAGGGGTGTTTTTTTAGAGGTATATAACTTTAAATTGCAATAATGGATCATTCGATTGAGAAGATTGTTTTTTATTCGAAAGATAATCTTGTGGCATTACATTTTAAATGTGATTTCTGGCATATGACCACCACGGCTGGCTCGGATGTAGTCCAATTTTCGATGGCTTTTTCCAACATTTGTGGCCGTATATCGGCAATAACACGGCGAATATTGTCTTCCAAATGATCAAGCATTTGTGGCTTATCCGCATAGACCAATGACTTCACATAGCCCCACAGAAAGTAGCTTAGCGGTGTTAAATCACAAGATCTTGGAGACCAATTCACAGGTCCAAAACGTGAAATTAGGCGGTCGCCAAACGTGTCTCTCAATAAATCGATTGTGGTACGAGCTGTGTGACATGTTGCGCCGTCTTGTTGAAACCACAGCTCCTGGACATCATGGTTGTTCAATTCAGGAATGAAAAAGTTGATAATCATGGCTCTATAACGATCACCATTGACTGTAACGTTCTGGCCATCATCGTTTTTGAAGAAGTACGGACCAATGATTCCACCAGCCCATAAAATGCACCAAACAGTCAGTTTTTCTGGATGTAACGGTGTTTTGACATACAATTGAGGATTATCTTCTCTCCAAATGCGGTAGTTTTGTTTGTTGACGTAGCCATTCAACCAGAAGTGCGCTTCATCGCTAAACAAAATTGTGCGTGATACGTATTCCGCACAGAACCAGTATTTTCGAAATGTAATTGCACTATTTACAAGTTAAAATTCACCCTAGTGGTTCACCCTAGTTCAGGCGTGAGTCTATTCATGATGAAGTGCCAAACCAAACTGAGAATGAATCACTTCTCAGCTGTTAAATTGGTCGCCATCTTCAACAGTAATGCCAACTTGAAGTTCTATACCTCTAAGAAAAACACCCTTCATAAATTGTCTCATAATCTAATCATTTCTTGTAGGCATCTTTCATACAAGGACTCTCTTGTTAGTGTCGATCCGTCTTGTTTTTCTATTGAATAGAGCCTATTCAAGTAGCAACCACAGATTTGCAACTCGTACACAATCTATTATACTTTTTTCAGTGAGTAAACATCATCTTAAAATATTCCTAATTATACATGGATGTCAAAAGTGCTGAGAAAAGAAATATATGTGCTTCAGACAAGGGACTCTGAGTAAATACAGAATGTTATTAAACTATAATAAAGTGTGTTCAACATAAGGATGGTGGATCAGAATAGATTCGATAAACTTTATATATTCGAAATATATTTTATACTTCGAAATCTTCAGAAACTATTGCCTATATTGAAGCGCATTGTAAATAGTACAGGATTACATTACAATTATTTGAAAGTGTCAAAGACTATAAAGTTTATTATCTTTATCGGTATGGTTTTATAGAATTTCGAAATTTTTCTTCGAATTATGTTAAACTACTTCATTCAAAGTGTAATTAATACAATTCAGCAAAAAAATTTCAACTTTCACGACACTGTTTACGGAGAAAAATCACTTTTTCATGGTAGGAAGAAGAACATTCAATTACATATTCTGATTAGTAAATATATTATGGATATAGTGAATGCAAGCCCACTATGTATATTATCGTTATCCAAACAGGAGTTGATCTATCTTTTTCACTCCATGAATATTCGATCACAGATTTCAGCGAGGAAATCTGAATGAAGTAGCTATAGTCTACCCGTATTTTATTGGGGTAGGTTTTCTATCCTGAATATTCAAAAGGGTTGAGAATGACTAGACTTTATAAATCGATTCACATCACCTACTTCTATAGCCGTTGAGAATTGTTAATGAACGTCTCTTAAAGAACGTATTGGCAACGTTTTCAATAGTTATAACGATTTTTATTATCTGGCTATATATTGGACTAAACTGAAATTGATATTCTGTACTGAAAGTATTGAAGATATTGGCGTTTATTTGATGTAAATCCATCATATTAAATATAAGATGAAATTCAAACACTTTTGATTTACACTTTTATTGAAAACATAACATGTCGCGTTTCATTATTATAAACTACTTCTTCAGTTGCTAATAGAATACTGACTTACAACAAATTTGACTTAACAGGTGAGCCCTTGTTATTTATACCTGTTTTGTCAAATCTGTTGTTAGTTGGTATTCTATTAACATCTGAAGACGTCGTTTAGAATGACGAAACGCGTCATGCTATATTTACAATAAACGTGTAAATCAAAAGTTTAAAAAATCAAAAAATGTTTGAATTTTGTCTTACATGTAGTATCTTTTTCTTTACTGAAAGTCTGTTTTTCTTGATTATTCCATAGAAATACAATAGGACTGGTTTCTTTGGAGTTTTCAATGTGAAAAGCCAAAATAATGTGGTCACAATGGAAGAGTGTGTCATTCAATATTGTGAAGCATTTGATATGATGAAAATACGATACGAATAATACGAATAAGATACGAAAGAATTTATTATAGATAATTTTCCCAAAATTTCCTGATTTGAAGTGACGAGTATATACATCGAATACAGTGAATACAGTCGAAAAAGATCAGATTACGTACAATGATCTGATCATGACTAAAATTTACTGAAATTTTTCAATTCAGTCGACATATATTTCATCTCGCTTATCCACTATAAAGAGTGAATGAAACTCATATAGTGCTTCCAAACATATGTTGTTAAAACTGAAGACCTTTTCTTGAAATGAAGCAGTGTTTGAATTAACATTTCACTGTCTTATGATGTGATAATTACAGCTGTCATTCGAGAGATACATTCACCTTGAAAAAGTTAGCTGGGGATTTATTTATGAAGCTAATACCATAACTAACACTATATAACAAACTTATATAACAAATACACCACTATACGACTAACTGTCGTCGTATGTTGCTTATAGGTTCAGGAATAGAGAGAGGGAGTGAGAAATGGAGTCGCTAAGATTCAGCTAGAGAAAGCATCACTTTTTCTCGTTAGTGACGCTTAAAAAAATATATTCAGAATGAAACAATATTTAGAATTTTCTCATATATTAACAAAAATACACATGACGCGTTTCGAAGTACTAGTTCTTTATCAAATGCTGAATTCACAACACTGTTGTTAATTGTACAACACTGTTGTACAATTATCGTAAATAATTGTATAACATTGTTGTTAAGTCAGCATTTGATAAAGAAGTAGTACTTCGAAATATTGGTTCATTATGGATATTAATTTTCTCCAAGTATCGGCCTTATAAATAATCAATATAATCAGAGCTGTGATAGAAAATTTCATTTGAATGGAAGCTACTGACTGTGATGATAGATAACTTCAAATTCATTGTAAATGTTAGGATAACAAACAATTATTTTATGTTAAATTTGAACATGAATTATAACTTGAGGAAAGCTCATACTAGCTCTTTGCTGTTTGGTGCTCTAAGTTGCTACGGAGATTTTGCGATAGTTACGATTTGTGCGATCACAAATAGTAAAATGTTTCCGCAGTATATGTACCTGAAGACGTGTTATCTAAGTGTTCCTGCTCGAAGAATTATAGCCCATGGAAAATTTAGATTGTTGAGAGAAGATCAGAAGAATGTTTTCATACGAAGGAACATTTACAGTTTTTGTATTAAAGTAATTCATTCTGAACTGCTACATAGACCTCATAAGACGGAACTTGATATTTTTGACTCTGACAGTAGATCATCCGATGGTAGAAAAATCGATGAAAAATTTAAAGTACGATAAAAAAGTAGTACTTCGGAATGCAAGTCAATCGTATTTTAAATTAAATTAAACTCTTGGCTTGAAGTTTCACGATTTATTTAACAATATGAATAGTCAACATGTTTCGAGTGTTAGCTCATTTTCAAGACTAAACTACTAACGTATTAAGGAACGTACAACAAATTTCTATCTATACAATGGATGTGAGTAGGGAGGATAATTGAGAATCTACTTGTTCATTTACGATTTCTTCTTTTTTCTTCCAAGAACTGCTTATTTCAACTGCTTCCAAAAGGTCTAAACGTTTCCCTTTATTACCTGCGTGTAGGCATTTGGTTTTCTCAAAGTCTATGAAGTGATTAGAGTTAATGCATTCTTCTGAAAATCCGGTTTTATTAACATTATACAAAATCGACCTTTTATATTCGTCCACCTGAGTTTTTATTTTTCTACCTGTTTGGCCGATATAAAACGCTGGACTTTCATCACAAAAAATTTTATAAATCCCGCTTTTGTCTTCAACATTTGTCTTTTCTTTATTATTTTCTAGAAGTGACTTTATATTTCTTTTGTTGGTACAAATGGTTTTTTCTCTCTTCTTTAATCTTTCGCAAATTTTTTAGCTGAGATGAGGTATGAAATTTATAAAATGATATTTTTGTTTGTTTTTTATAATTTGAGATGAATGAATTGAATTTAAAAGAATTTTCCGTTGCTTCTTTCTTATAAGATTATCTAATCTTATATCAGATTATCTGATATAAGATTATCTAATCTTATATCAGATAATCCCATAATAAAAAAGCAACGGAAAATTCTTTTAAATTCAATTCATCCATTTCAAATTATAAAAAACAAACAAAAATATCATTTTATTAATTTCATACCTCATCTCAGCGAAAAAATTTGCGAAAGATTGAAGTAGAGAGAAATAAAAACCATTTGTACCAACAAAAGAAATATTAAGTCACCTTTAGTAAATAATAAAAAAGAAATGTTGAAGACAAAAGTAGGATTTATAAAATTTTTTGTGATGAATGTCCAGCGTTTTATATCGGCCAAACAGGTAGAAAAATAAAAACTCGGGTTGACGAACATAAAAGGTCGATTTTGTATAATGTTAATAAAACTGGATTATCAGAACATTGTATTAACTCTAATCACTTTATAGACTTTGAGAAAACCAAGTGCTTACACGCAGGTAATAAAGGGAAACGTTTAGACCTTTT